GCAATCCTGATTGAAACTGCTGCTTATCTTTAAGTCAGAAGTTGCTCTTGAGCCTCCCCTTCACACTCCCCTCCTTTTAGCAATTCAACTCTCACAAGAGTTGTATTGTCACAAAACTCAGTCAAATTGCCACGTGGAGCATTGCTGCAGAGGAGCACTGCTAAGGGGAAATATAAGTTCAGCTGGATTTCCTTATCTTGCAGTAAAATTGACTGATGATCTGCTCTTTGATCTCTTAACACCACACACAGTGTATGTATGGGACACACATGGGTATTTATTAAGTCCTCCATCCAGTCCTGCTGGAGTCATTAACTCTCTATTGAGTAGAAATCGACACTCTTAAATTAGTCATGATTCCAAAAGGGAAACAGCTGCTGTGCACGGAGAGTCACGGATGGCAGGTTGTAAACAAGGCTTACTCTTCCAGAAATGCAAATTGCTGTCCTGAGGGACTCCCTGCGTTCACACACTACATCATCCGTTAGGAAGGAAGCAGTTCAGGAAGGATATTGGGGTCTGCATAACCTAGGGAAGTAACGTTAGCATGAATCCAATGGCCTTAAATCACGTTACCAAGCAAAGACTGCACTTGAGTTGATGGGAAATCTGAGCCATGCCACGAGCAAAGACACAGCAGCTTTAGCCACTTTCATCTGTGGAGCAAATGGGAAGCAGAAACCTACTTAACGTACATAAAAGTCATCACCACGCAGAGAACACAGAAAAATCTTACAGTGTCTCACTCTCAAATCAGAAATGCACAGGCCAGGCCCTCCTGCACCATCCTCAGGACTGAGCCTTGCACACCTCACCTGTGCAGAGGTGCACCTCACAGCAGGGAACAGGGAAAGAAAAGCCTCTGGGACCACTCACTGCACTAAGTATTTGCCACATTAATGACACAAACGCTGTAAATCTTTTGCCATCTTTGCATGGCACCACATTTTCTGGTGGTAAGTTCAAGGTGGTAAATGCTGGTAAGCTCACTGTGCCAGTGGGTGCCTTGATGTGCACAGGAGAGGGAGGGGACATTAAATCCCACTGTCACAGAGCAGATGACTTAGCACCTCCTGAAAAATGAGGCCAATTAAGTAGTTACGGTCTGCAGAAGGCAGGTATCCACAGCCTCGGGTTATGCTGCAGTTCACTGCTGACAGACTTGACTGACTAAACCTCAGTGACAAACGTGGCCACAGCAGAGCCCTGAGCTGGAGATGTCCCTCAGCTTGGTCTGTGGTGTCAGCGATTCACGTTGCACCCTTCCCACAGTTGGCCTCAGCCATTTCCTCTTTAAAATCAGATTCTGCAAAGCCTACCGTTAAAAAAAAAAATTAACCTTTAAAGAAGCCAGCTGATTTTTAAATTTTGTTTTATTACAACACGTCTACAAAGGCACCACTGGGTACCACGTTACCCCATAAAGATATCAGCTTTTTAGTGATTGCATCTCTGAAGAGGAGGCAGAAACAATAGAGCTCTGCCTTATATGTACAGTGGCTCCGTGCTGGCAACAGAGACTGCTTCCCCAAATGGTCAAAAAATTGAAGCAGCTCCACTGTGGTTTTCAAAAGAGAACTGCTCTAAAGCACACATCCCACCGCTCTCCAAATGAAATAAAGCTTTCAGTGATACCTACGAGGCTTCCTGGAATCAGCATCAGCACGTTGCACCATTTATTTAGAAGGATATTTATAAGGATATTTTCCCAGGCAGCGAGCTTTGCTGCACTGAACTGACAAAACCTCGGTGTTAAACTGCACTTTGTGTGCACACAAACATCTCTCTGGCTGCTGGTGATTTAGAGGCTCAGTGCAAACGGGGAAGGGAGATCTGATGCCCTACTCCACACTTGATTCCTGCATAAAGACCGTGCCCACTGCAGACACTGAACACAGCTTCTGCTCCATGTTCCTGTCACTAAAAAAAGGAGTTGGGAGGAAACAAAGCCAAACACTTCTCTCTCTGAGATGAGCTACCAGGCTGCTGGCTGGCAAGATGATGGAGCCCATCCTGGCCACAGAAGGGATGTTATCTCTGCATATCAAGACCAAGCTGATCCCACAGAAGGAGGTACATGATCAGTCTGCACATCCAGCCCTGCCTCAAAGCACCCACTTGAGGCCCTTTGCCAAACAGTCCTGGAGAAATAAGGGGGAAAGTAACTCTTCATTTGTTTCTCTGCCACTATTCTGGTTACTTAATGCCAGCAAACTGTAATACAAGAGTTGTCCCTTATGCAAGGGGTAAGTGCTGGTGGCTGGCAGCTCTGGCACAGGATTTCCTGCTGCAGTTATCAAAGGCTACAGTGACTGAAAGATGAAGAGATGTGAGCATTTCAGAGCCTTACACAGCTTAGCATTAGGGAACTGCAGCTGTATTCCCTTCTACTTGCATGTGTCATTGTGATCACTGCAGAGTTCCAATTCCATTAATGCCATCCACTCTATAATGCATGATGCAAAAAATAGCTCGTGTGTCTGCTCATATTTGCAGGTAGAAGGTGAAGCAGCCAAGGTGTCAATCTCAAGAGGAAGAAACGAGGGCAAATGATCCCACTGCTTGAGGGGCACCTTGTTCTGCCAAAGCAAAAAGCTTTGGCTCTGACACAGCCAAACTCCTGCTCCCCTGGCCAGATGGATTCCTGGGAGCTTTTGGGAGTAGGAGTGCAGCAGCCAAGACAGAAGGGGCAAGAGAAATGAGAACTGCTGCAATAAGAGGAGAAGGAGGAGGAGGGGAGTCATCCTATTGCTTCATTTGGAGCTGAGCAGCTCCTGCATCCCCCTGGAGAAGTCAGTGAGAGCAGCACTGGTTGAACAATATCCCATTCTGCACTGGGAGTTACGCAAGAGCCGTCCCAGTCACACGGGCAGAGGGGAGCAAAGAAAGGCCATTATTCACAGCCTGACATGGATGAACCCAGTTTAACACATGCACTTGGAAAACACTGTTCTCTCTGTTCAGTAATATTATTTCACATTCCACTCATTTTGATAACCTTTTCCTTCTCCATCTACTCTGTTGACTGCCTGGAAAGTGGAGTAATGCCTTCTCCTGAGAGCTGCCAACACGCATAACTAAGAGATTTTTCTCCTTTCAAGATACCACCGAGCCTCATTTTGCAATGAATAATTTACAAATTCATAAATTAAAAAGCTAGAGAAATTTAGAAGGGAAGCCTCTGTTTCACTTGACAAGGAAGAAGCAGCAGGGTAGGGATTGCTTCCCAGAATTTACCTAACACTCTCAGATTGATATATGAACTTTCACTCTGATCAGAAAAGGCCAAACTTGGAAAGGGATGTAGAAGTAAGGAGTGTCAGCCCTCTACTTCAGAAAGTAAGTCATGTCTTTGTACCCCTTTGACATGGCCTCAGCTTTGGAAAAAAATCTAGGCCAAGCCCTAATTTTATCTGTGAAAGAAGTATCATAAAATCACTTTATACAGATAAAGCAGAGATGATCCCCCTCTGTTAGAAAAACCCACATGTGGTGCTACATCCTTAACATTCTGTACATGCATTCATCTGTCAAGTGCCCTGGCAAATCCAGAAGGCAACAAAGGATCAAATCTACACGGAGAATTTACAAATAAGAGCCAAGCAAATTACAAGACCACAGAGGTATTTTGTCCTTTGATGTGCAATAGCACTTGGGGGAAATTTCCTGAGCTTGTTTTTCATTTACTGTCCTCATTGCTAATAGCATCCTTGATGCTATTTGCCACGCAATCTCCTGATGCTCGGCATACTAGAAAGATAGTGAGATCCCACAGACATAAAGGAAAATGTCTATTTGATATCTTTACAGGGTTGAAACAACTCAGAATAGAACAGAGCAGACCTCTGAAGGAGCAAAACCTACATTTTACAAGGACCACCTTGGACTTGAAAAAGATTTCTTGCCTATAATTCACTTTCCTTTCCTGTCCCTGCAACAAGATGTTTGGTATATTTTAAGCTTCAGCTTTTTCTTTTTCTGTTCTCTTTGTTTATGTTTTTTTTGTTGTGGTTGTTGGTGTTGTGTTTGTTTTTTTTTTTAAAGAAACAAACTTTTTCAAATGTTCTGGCTATTTTCTGCCTACCTGACTCAAACTCAGGGAAGACAGAACTGTCCTTACACATTGTAATGTGGTGTTTCTGACCTCCATTAGTGCATCTTCTCAGCAGATGTGTAACTCCAAAAAGAGAAGCAATTTAAAGACACTTCCTTCCATCTCCATTGCTTTTTTAAGTTATAGGTACTGGACCTGGACCAGCAAAATTTACACTTTAAGCATCCTCAAAACTTTTTAAACTTTAAGCATCCTTCCACACATCCAATTTTGAATCAAATTAAAGAGAAAATATTTCCAGACAGACATGATGGAGCAGGGTGGATGTTTAAAACTAAGCTCAGATCAAAAGCTTCACTGCATGAGGATCAATGTAAAAAAGCCACAAATGACACTGCAACCAGACAGCAACTGGGAAATGAAAATAAAAGCCTTGTGCCATCTGTGACAAGAATGGATTCCAGAACTCTGCATCACAGGGAGAGCTGTCCTGCTCTAAACTCAGGACCATGAAAACAATTCTGGGAATACTTCATCACATCCAATGACATCAGAATATCTTCAAAGTGCTGCTCAAAGGGCAGTAAGTTGAGTTCTACCTGGATCACAGAGGAAACAAAAATGTGTGGAAACTGCAAGCAGCCCTCAGGGAGCCCTCACAAGCCTGACTGTCACAGAACCCAGGGTGTTACTTAAAACTGAGTTTGCATAAACTCCTTCAAAGCCATGTGTTAAACTCTGATATCACCTACTGAAGAAAAGTGACTGTATCTGTTTAGAATTTTTATGCAAATAAAGGTTTCTGCAGAGATCCCCTGTTTTTAATTAACGTACAGGCCGACTGAAGTAAGGCATTAAGCCTCAGAGGGTTTATCCTCCCACTGGGATTGAGGAACTAAACCTATCACATCCGTGTTTACAAACAGCCTCTCCACCCTCAGCTTACCTTTTCAACATCTGCTTTTGTCACGTTGATGTCAGCATCCATTTTCTCAAAATACTGCTGTGCTCGATCAGCTTCTTTGCAGTCACGTTCAAACCGCCTTTTACTCTGAAAGGGAAAAACAAAGGCCTTCATTGTGGGAAGGAAACAAGACACCAAAATCTACCTAAAATCAATACCATCCCTAAACCAATCTGCTGTAACAATTGTCTGATTTTGGGACTCGCTTGTTTACACTGGAACACATATCCATATTAAAGAACTCCAAAAAATGAAATTACCATGGCTTTTGTTCCATTGTTCAGTGTGCTTGATGCCACCAACATCACTCATATTTCAATATTTTTCCCTGTTAGCATCTCTTCTGCTCTCATAAAAGAAATCATTCTTCCAAAACTCAACTCCTTCGTTTTTATAATGTACAAGGGAGTCACTAACGTTCATAAATGTGCAAGTAGTACTTTTGGTTACTGATGCCTCCTTTCTTTATCCTCTCCTGTATTTACAGCCTCACTTTTCATTCATCACATGAACAACAAGTCCAATGTATTTGCTTTTGAGAAGCAGCACCTCACTCAAGAGATGGTCCTGTTCAATTTATTCACACATTATTAAGCTGTTCAGCTTTCAGTGGAATATCTAAACAGGACCCTTAGGGATCCTGCAGTTCCAGCAATGCTTAGCACACTTTTCAAGTCATATCAAATGAAATGCTACTCATGATAGACACAGATCCCATAGAAAGCCAAATCTACTATTAAAACAGACTTCTTCATGTGTGTTTAAGTCAGCAGAGTTTTAAAACTCCCATTTATGCATCTTTTATCCCTATAACATTCTCTTTCCAAATATGATATCTGGATCCATCTCTATGAGAACAATAGAAAAATGTCTTAATGTCACATCTGAGGAAGGTGCCACTTACTGCTTCAAGTTGTTTCCAGCAAGTTTCAATGTGTTGTTGTGCCTTTCTGCCATCGTGGAAGTGCTGTTTAGAAAAAGAGAAAAAATGAACCCGTTTTTGAACAACAAAAGAACAAACCATCAAGTACGCTCAAGAAAAAAACCCCACCCCAACCAGAAATCATTCTGACAGCTGTGTTCTGCAAGGCTGCTGAATTGAGCAGGTGTATGATGACTATCTAATGTCTCAGCAGGCTGCAGATGGATATTTGCATCAATTATAGTGGTTAGTTCGACTAAGGCTAATTAATCCCTTTAGCAATTCTACCTTGTATTGTTCACTGTATCTCATAATTATTGGTTTCCCGTATCATGAGATCTGAAGCACTTTTATCTGAAGAGTGTCTCTTTGGTGACAGACTGAACACTAGCTCTAAATTAAAATTTCTCTCTACACGGAATTTACCAAGAAGCCCTTGATTGGCACATTCTAACAACTGATGTTTGCCCTGATTTTCATTCAGACTCAACAAAAAACCCTCTTCTTCATAGTTACTGACTCTGTGTGCAAGGCCAGCTGCTCATTCCTCTTGAGAGGTATTAGTTCTGTAGGTCCCCCCCAGAAACCCTCCTCTCCATCACATTGAGGGTGAGGGTGTGACAGAAGTTCTAAATATTAGATATCAGCCAAATGACAAGGAACTTCTCTCTTGGAATGTCTTTCAGAACAAGATTCTTAATTGTAGTTGGTTTAAATAACAGTTCTTGGACCTTACACAGTGATTTTCATCAAAGAATCGTACGTGTGTTAGATATGACCCCCTCTACAGAATCACAGGATGGTTTGGGTTGGAAGAGACCTCAAAGATCACCTTGTTCCAACCCCCTGCCATGGGCAGGGACACCTTCCACTAGCCCAGGTTGCTCCAAGCCCCATCCAACCCGGCCCTGGACACTTCCAGGGATGGGGCAGCCACAGCTTCTCTGGGCAACCTGTTCCTCCATATGCCTGGCTTTTCCTCAGGAAAAGAAATTCACTCAAGATTGTTGTGTAAGTCAATGATCCAGCTTTAGACAGGAATGTTAATGCAGCCCCCAACCCACTGCTGGGACAGGTTACTCCCCTCCCTCCACAAACCTGGACTTCCACTACAGCAACTGGTATTTTCCTGTGTCAGGGGCAGCTCTCTGGAGCAAGTGTGTGATGGACACTTGGGAGCTGCTCTTCTGGCTCCATCAGACACAACAGTAAAGAGCCCCAAAACTGTAATTCTCTATCATGCCATGCCCAGTACACTTGTATTACCCTAAAAATCACATCATCCACCTTCAACTTGTTTGTGAGAACAGAAGAACACCCTGGCTACCCTGAGTGCTCTGGATACTGGTACCTGTAGTCCCAAACAGTGGTTGCTAAGGAGGGATGCTCAGCTAAGACTGAACACAGGGGCATTCTTTAGCTTTATGTGTCTGGATACATGAAAATTCTCACAGCAAACAAGAGAGGTAAAGTCAGAAATGCTTTTAATCCTGGCATGTGCCATGGAAGGGAGCACAGCTGAGAGCCTGGCACTGCCACGGCCACAGAGAGACCTTCTGCCACCAACCCCGGTGGTCCTGGTGCAGTTCAGATCCCTGCCAGGCCTCTCCAAACACTCCCCCACCACATCATGACACGAAAAACCCCGGACACCACTGTAAAAGTGCTGGGGCAGAGGGGAAAGGCTCCGAGTTGATTTCGGTTCCTTTTGTAGATCCCCATTTCCTTTCAACTCTGCATGTGACAGATGCTGCATCTTTCCTGCCAGGGGCTTTGAAACTCTCCTTGTTTCAGGCTTGCTTTTGTAATTACAGTTTAGGAAAACAGTCCCAAGGAGCAACAAAAACAGTCCCAAGGAACAGCTGTAATTTAACACTACATTTTTCAACGTTTTGCTAATGAGCATGGAATTCAAGAAAGTCTTAACAGTGAAGCTGGAAGTTAAATGACTCTGCTGTCTTCCTGCTGCCTCTCCTGCCTCCACCAACCTCTGCCTGTGTGCTCCCTGCTTTGCTGGCTCCAACTCTGCTGGTGTAGGAAGGGACCTGATTTGAGAACAGCTGGTCTGTGTGAAACCCAATACTGTCAATGACCCATAAACCTCAGGAAAACAACATGCCAGGTTCACTTAACAGAAAACAATTGTAGAGAGGAGCTGAAGGATGAACTTGGAAACAAAAGCCTATCAGATAACAGGACTGCCTTGAGCTTGTATTTTTAAACCTTTGTAGTTAAATAATGTAATTTTAACAAGCCATCCCTGTGATTTCCAAATGTGGCTTCTCTGTAAAATAAAATCTACGAGCTGCTGGAAGTACAGGTAGCATGACTGCGTCTCATTCAGATTTTACTACTTTTTTTTTTTTTTTTTTCTTTTTAAGAAGCTCTTTTGCACAAATGGAGCACTGAAAAGTAACCTGGGCATTACTGAGGATTATTAAACAGTGAAACTGAGGACCTGATGCTCAGGGACAGTCTGATAAATACAGGTGCTTCACATTTTGGAGATTTCAGTGCAATAGTACCTTTTTTAGTTCAACCATTTTTAAATATACTCACAACCCCAATTCTTGTTGTGTTACCCCATACACACCCTTGCTATGAGAGCTAAAGCACTTCTGCTTTCACAAATCTTTTTTTTTTAATGATTCCTGCCTTCCAAAAATTCATTTTTTTTATATACAGCAACTAAGAGAATCTATATTTCTTCACTGCCCCTATTTTATGGGTAAGAAACTGAGGCAGCATGGTTAAGTGATCTGCTCAAAGTCATACAGGAAGCCTCCAGTTTCCTCAAACCCTGCACTATCTTCAACTTCCGCAAACTCATTTCCTCTACAATCCTGTTAAACAGCAAATGTCCTTTACCTTCACCTCCCCACTCCCAAACCCAGCAGAAATAACTACTCCTTGCTCAGGTTTCAAGCTACAAGTTTTAATTGAAATAAGGTTTTTAAACAATAATTGTTTATTTTACAAGAGGTCATTCAGCAAATGGAAACGTGACAAATGTTTAAGCAAATCATATGGAAAATTATCATGGTAACACATTTCAACAGCACACAATGATGAAATTAGAGTAGTTGATGCAATACAGAATATTGGATTTTTTTCTCCAAAACCAAACACTCAAACTACTGCACCCTAATCAGGCTTTCTATTTAAAAAAAAAAAAAAAAAAAATCAGATTATGAGCAAGACACTGAATTAATGAATCACGCTTCAAGTGTGCCAGTGACATTTGCAGCAGCAGGATGCTGGTGGTTCACACACCATGATTTCCTCCAGATTTTTCACCCATATCCACAGCATTGGAAGCACATGTCAAAAACACAGTAAAGTGAAAGGTTTGGGTTTATTGGTGTTCATTACCCAACCTCCTTAAATCACCTTTTAATCTACACTTTGCAGCCTTAGGCAAGCAAGCACCGTGCCAACTTTAAGATTTCCCTGAAAAATATTTTACCCAAATATCAGAAGTGCTAAATGGCTTAAAACACAGCAGCAGTGCCCAGAGTCAATCCATACATGACCACGACTGTCCTTTTTCCCTTTGTTCAAGCCCAGTCCAGTCAGGACGTCACAGGGTGCTCTGAACAACCCACCATGGTCATGTTTTGATTGGACATCTCCATTCCATTCCAGTTCACAATTTAAGACTCAATATTGACTGCAGTTTTTAGGGGATCTCATGAGAGTTCACCAAATCACAGAATCAGTTTGGAAAAGGTCTCCAAGACCATCGAGTCCAACCTTTGACTGATTTCCACCTTGTCAGCTGTGCCACTTAATGCCATGGCCAGTCATTCTTTAAAGACCTCCAGGGATGGTGACTCCACCACCTCCTTGGGCAGCCTATTCCAATGCTTGAGAACACTTCCAGTGAAGAAATTCTCCCTGCAATTCTGCAATTTAGCTATTAAGACTTGAGATATTTTTGTCAGTCGCTTACATGAACACCGTGGATTAACTTAACTTTTTTTAAAGCATTTGCTACATTCGAAAACTCCAAGCTCAGGGAATACTCAGCTGTAATAAAGGAAGAAGAGTTCCAGGAAGAGCAGGAAATGCACATTAAAACACACAGCATGCACGAGGTTTTTTTTTCCTTTGTAAATCCACAGGGATCGCTGTGGTCTCCTCATTAGGATGCTGCCTGTGCCTGTAACAGCTGGGGACCAATCCTGGCCGCTGCACAATCAAAGACAAACCTCTCATTGACTTTTGTTGGGCTCAGATTTCCCCCGTGTTGATCAAAACCCCGGGAGCAGTGAGCGAGGGACCGACAATGCAGCGCCTGTTCCTGCCAACACCACGACAATCAGGAGCAGCAGGATATTTTTTGCACAACTCCCTTGGTATGCACGAGGGTTTACACAGCCCCACGGCTCAAGCAGACAACAAAAGCTGGTTAAAAGATGCATCTTATCTCCTTTCTGACCTTTCTGAGTGGAGCAGGAGAAAAGATCCAGTTAAAAGCATCTTATGAAGGAGGACACAGTTCAATAATTTTGCTGAGGAATTCTTGGGGCAGTTCTGAATGAAAGAAGTGCCTGAAACATGTAGATTACCAGCATGTCAACAGGGTTGCTTAGGCTGTGCCTAAACTGATCGTGTGAAACATTTTAAGAAAGGTTGTAACAACACAGCCTTGTGTTCTTAAATAGACAGGAGTTACTTACACAGGGTAAACTTCAGATTTGTACATCTACAGTCTGTTTATATCGTAAATAATCAGAAGAAATAATCTTAATAAGCTAATTTATATGCATGGTGTATAGTTCCTTTGACAAAACACTACTCAAGAATTTTCAAAAAATATATATATGACAAGGCCGCTTCATTCTCTCTTCTGTTTACACACTAGATAATATAATCCACTGCAAAACCATTTACCTTTGACTTCTGTAACCAACACTCCCAGCTCATACTGATAGTCAATATAAATACAGTACTTCATCCTCCAATTCAAATTCTTATCTCTGTTTTGGTTACAAATGATTCCCAAAATAATGATGAGCGATTAAAGTGCACCAGCGACGGAA